ACAGTACACAACGGCAATACAGGTCACTTTCTATGCTAAGCGACATCACAACTTATCTTTGCTACACAAATTCACAGCACCCTGCCAAGTAACAACCATTAATTTGAAATTTTAGTACATTTGGCAATGTTCAAGGTCAAACTTTCTCCTCCTGATTCACTATAATGCTTTCTCCTCCTGGCCAAGATAACTTGAAGAATGGAATTTCACCATGGCAACAGCCAAACACACCAGGCTACAAGGCACGCCTTGCCCAACATTTTTCGACATAATCCTAACCCTGGATAGCTGAATTCGGATAACAAGTAATCGTCCAAACAGATTCTGAAATCAATTCGTCAATCCTAGAGCTTTTACAACGGTACAAACCTTTCCTTACCAAATGAACTACAATCGGCATGCCCACATTTTCACCACCCGTAGACCTACGACAGTCCTATCAAACGAAGCCTCTCTACACTAAAACAATATGACATTTAAGCGGTCAGACAACAACGTATGCGGTTCTACCTCCATTGTCAACTGAAAGGCACTACCCCGTCGCTCTCCTGTCTGCCCGTCTGCCAGTGGTATCGTTGGTAGCCTCTCTGGTCTTCAGTCTTCTGTAGCGTTGATGTTGAACTTGGCTCCCGGTCCTCTGTCCTGGGCGACGTACGCAGCCATCCCACCGCTGCCACCATTTGTAAGGGTATGTCAAGGTCAAAGACGAAGACATGGTAGCGTAGTGACCTCGGTCTCGATGGGTGACCCTTACAAGTTCGTAAGATGGCCGCCGATGTTGTAGATGTACGTACCCGGAACAAATGACACAGGAGCCAGAGCTACATAGTGACGTGACTGTATTCTCTTCTCTCTCAAACGGGAACTCTGCTGAACTGTCCTAACTACAAGAGTACTCGGGCTTTTATATAGTTTGCCCGCCTACACACAGGTTTCTTGGAACAAGTTGGATTCTTTGTATATCAGTCATCGTGAGTCATATCCTCTCCCTTTCTTAAGACGTTACTGGTCAGCCCCTTGTATCCCCAAATATGGTTATGGTCAAGCAGTCGGGCTTAGACCCCATGGGAGGTTAGGCCATTACTGGTGTCACTCAAAGGTCGCCTACACTTTCTCAGAAGACAGGAGGGTTACAATGACTCACGGTTGCACCAGGAATTTGTACAAAAGTGTAACAGAAACTAATATTAATATATATATAGCAAAAACTATAACATATCAGGTCAGAGCACCCTATTACAATAGCAAATGTATTACTGTGTTAGTGTGCCGTGTTTACCACGTTTGGGCATGAGTCATCACAATGGAATGCAGGGCATCAACCAATAGGCATGCAGCTTTCCTCTATTCTTCTTGCTGATTGGCTGTTGGAATTTAACTTGATTAACACCTGCACAGAGCATTTCCACCTGCACAGAGCATTTCTTGCTGATTGGCTGTTGGGATTTAACTTGATTAACACCTGCACAGAGCATTTCCATACTAACAGTATGTCTGTATTCAAGTGTTTTGGTAGGTATTTCAAGCTTTCCTGCTCCAGCATTGGAATGCGGGGCATGAACGTTTTTTTTTTTTTTTTGAAAATCAACAGTTTGCATTATGCAATTAAAAATCCTAACCAATAAAGTAGGGAATAGCTATCCAACTGTTGTTTTAGTTGTATGTTACTTCATATTATAGTTATATCAATGTAAATCATTGTTTTCCCTTGTGTTTCTCATTCTTTCCCTGCCATGTTGTAAAATGTGGTGAACCCATCGCTGTATTTGCTCCAAAGCAAATATTGGCCTTTCAAGTTTTTCCTTCTAAATCATATAAGTCTGACAGAGCTGGATCTTATAGGATAAAGGAGGCTGTGGTACTGTGATAGACTTGTATCTACCCGGTAGTAACAAATTGAATATGTCTGGTACTCACTTAGTATGTCTTCATATCATGCATATGTCCTCACATTACAAAACTTGACAAAGTGACATTTTGACAAGAATATTAAGTATTTCAATAGTAAATACTGTGTGCTGCAGTTTTTTTCCCAGTCCTGCCCTTTTTTCTGCCATTTCAGCAAACCCATGCTTCTACATGTTGGCACCGTAACATACCCATTTGGCAAGTTTCATGGCAGAAAGGCTAGGATAGGATATATTCATTTTCCTTCCTCTTACAACACGGTATTCTGCTGGAATTCTTCTTGTAATATTGCATTCATTTATGTATGGGTAAGGGGACGAAGTCAGCCATTTCTGATTGCCTTCTTTTGCAAATTTGAGTCTTGAGGGACAGAAGTCTGGACTGGACCAGTCAGCCGTGAGGTTGTGTGTGTGGAGACTGATGTAGAGATGTGCAGGGAATGACAGTAACTGTTCCAGTACGTCAATCCCCCAATGCAACCAGGGACTTGCACTCTGCTGCTGTAGATGTAAGTACATGTATATTCCACAAATGGAAGGTAGACAGATGCTTTTACCAGCACTTTAACCTACCAGTCTGTTTTAAGTACATTGTAGTCCATTGGTGAAGACTTAGAGCAGGTATAAAGTGACCTCACCAGAATGGCTGTCACATCAAAAATAAATACCACAGACCTTCTACTGTTCAAAAATCACCAGGAGAATTTGCTCACCCAAATGGTACAGGTGTCTAAAATTTGGGGTCCTGACCCATGGACTAAAGTTCTACTGTCACTGTCAGTCTAATAAATAGGAAGATGGAACAGACTAAAGTTCAACTTGGTAATTAAATTTTTTTTGACACATCATCAAGTACTTGCCCTTGGTAAAATCAAGGAACACTGTAAGTTGGGCAGCACTCTTTAACAAGCTCACTCCAGACCGAGAGACATTTTTAACTTGAGGAAATGGGGAACTTTCTTATTCTGGACCTCAAGGGCACCCTAATGTCATACAGATGAGACTTATAAGCTGAAATGCTGAACATCTTTCTTGCACCGAACTTCAAGGCAGACTGAAGGTTATCCCAAAGACATGCTGATGTTAAGAAGCTGAATTTTCATCTGACATGTCTTCAGGGATGTCTCAAGTTCTTAAGTGATTCCAAAGACACCCCTGAGTTGGGAAGATACACAGCTTTCTTAAGATGAAGGATGAGCATTGTAAATCTCTATTCCAATGAAGCTGAAGGAAGGACAATTTGTAAGTCTAGATTGGTTTACTCTTCGTGGTGTTGAATAAAAAAACTTTCAGAGTGAAGTCAGATTTAAGTTTCTTCCCAACCCTCTGCCCTTGTCCTCTTGCAAAATGTTTCTAAGGCCACACCAATTTAGTTTGTTGGTTAACGGATTCGCTACTTATTTTCTGACCCCCCCCCCCCAAAAAAAAAAAAA